TATAGGTCAAGAAATTATAATATTTTTTTCATTCCCAACTTATAAATATAATTTAATTAATATCGAATTATCCTTATAAAATGCATATTCTTATAAATTTTCTGTCCAAATAAGTGAAAGTATTGACAGTGTCATTAAATATTAAAAAATATCATTTTTTTTAATCGATTAAAAAAAACCGTATTGCATAAATTTAAATAAAAAGTATATTATATAAAACATTTGAGCTGCAAGGTGTCACACGGTTTCATGAATTATCACACCCTTCAAAATGTTCTTTTAGCCGACATTCCACAAAAATTTATATTTTTATAATATACTTTTCTATGTCTCCTTGAAATTTCTTCCAATCTAATTTTTTTTATTGATAAATTTTTAAATTTATTATTTTTGAGTAGCAGCAAAATGATTGAAAGAACTTTTTAAATGTATAGTTCATATATTTAAACATTTGATTTTTTTTAAAAAAAATGACAGAAATTTCATATTTAAAATTTTTAATTACTATTATTTTTTATTAGTTTTATATACTTTTAAAATTTTTATTTTTGCGCATTAGATTAATGTACGCGTATCAAATTTCGCATTTATCAATGCTTATATTATTGTATTACTTTAAGAAATTTATGTAATTATAAACTTATAAAGGACAAATAATAATTTTACCGTAAGAATATGTGATTTTTTCCTTTTTACCATTTTTGTCTTGTTAGTAGTACATGATACTATTAAAAGATTTCAAACTTATATCAATATAAATATATGCGAAAAATGTTGTCTTGTCAAAAATATTTATAATTAAAAATTTTTAAGAACGAGCTAATTTCAATATAAACATACCAATTTCAGTAAGATAAAAAGAAGTCATCTCCTTAAATTTGATTATGTAGGGAAAAAAACAATAAAAATTAGAATAAAATAAAAAATTGATAATTAAAATTATAAGTTTGTAACGTAGTGATTTGGCTTATTATAAGTCCTATTAAAAAGTAAGAAAAGTCTAACCGTTGTATTGATTGATTAATTAGCAGCTTTTGATGTTAATGATAAGCTTAATTACTATTAATACAACGAATATAAAATTCCTTTATGGAGTTTACTATATTGTATACGGTGCATTTGTTGCAGTATGTAATGATTAATTATAGTTAAATAGTGACCTATATCATAATGCTGATCACAAGTCATAATAATTATTAATTAATAAAATTTTTAGTATATGGTGCTTTTAATGTCGTAGGTAGAATTAAAGTAAAATAAAGTAGTGGCACTTTATCATAGTGCTCGAAATTAAACACAAATACTAAAATATTTTACCCATTAATTGTAACAACTTCATCAGGTTAACGTTAGATAATAAACGTATATAATTGATCTTCGTTTATTGTAAATAATAGAAATATAAATGGTAATTAAACCATGTATAATTGTTTTTAATTATTCATTTTTCAACCTCTTCTTTTATTTTAATAGTAATCATGATGTAGTGTGTATTTGTCGTATAATACAATTTTTGATAAATATATTATTTGAATATGTTAGTATTATTTTTTATCGTTACGATGTGTACGTAATTTATGTTATACATTAACAATAACAATTTGAATAATAAATCTACAAAAATATAAAGTATTAGAGCTACTATAAAACGTAAAGTACAGAATAAGTAAGATTATTAAATAATAAGTAAGAAAAAAATATTAAGATAACAACGCGATCACACGAAATCAATAGTTACACTTAAAACTTTTTTCATCGCATAACAATGAATTTAAAAGATACGATACAGTATAATAAAATTTAAGTAACAGTCAAAATAAATATGATATTTAAATTAACAATAAAATATTATAGAACGGAGAAAAACCATCCAAACAATGTGTTAAACAATTGTGATTAATTAGTTATAATTCAGTTGATAACTTGCTAACGATAGCATATTATTAGTGGAACGTTTATAAGTAACTATATTAACCAAATAAAGCAACAAAAAAACGTCTTAACCATATCATTAATTCTATGCTTTGGTGATGTTTTTGTACGTTTGGAGTGGTAATGTTTAATAATCTAAATTTGATTTTTTTACCAAAAATGCTTTTAGATTTTATCTCAAAATGTCATTTTCCCTCCCAATAATTATTAGTATAATGCAACATTCGAAGAGTCTTTTTTCAATATTATTATAAATAGATGTTTACCCTTTTTATCTTTGATTCATTTGTATTTCGTAAACGCAAAATAGGGAATTAAAGAGATACTAGAATATATTTTTACCATTTAAAGGTTATAATCACTAAAAAGTATACGCAAGTGAGAAGAATTATTGCCTCAATATTTACCCTATGGAAATATATATAAAATATGATGAAACAGAAATTTTATGATAAATATTCGTGAGAACAATTTATTTTTTTTAATTTTTCTCACATAATATTTTTTCGTAATTCAAAGATCATTAGTAGCGTATAATACTTAAATATAATATGATATTTGATGAAGAGGCATATTTCGAAAGAGAACAGTGTGGTATTATGAAAAATAAATGTTATCAAGTTAAATTTAAAGAGTTATTTTCAAAAATTGTAACTTTACTATAGAGAAACGAATTCTTACTTTCCGAACATTTTGAGAAATATTTTTCAATATAGTTAGATTTTTAGATTTTTTTTTATCAAATATACTATAAATAATTGGATTAATTTATGAGTGCAAAACTAAAGTTCCTTAGTCAAATATGTATTATTGGTCATTATTTATGTGTGAAATCAAATAAGTGTTCACTTTTCGTGTATCCAACGATGTGTCATAAGTTCTATATTTCTTTATGTAGCCATAAATTGCTCCATAATTTAATTTTTAAAAAAAATGCAAACTTACTCATTCATTTTCCTTAATTTGGAGATCATATGAGTGATATAATTCATGTGATTTTCCATAATACGTTAACTAAATTTAAAATTTTAGTTATTATTAAAGTAATTTATTTTCTTAGCTTCTCCGTAAAGTATTTTAGTGCGAATCGGAGAAAAATGTGTACATTCAATCTTACTCTTGTTCAATGAACGAAAAACAAAAAGAAAGAGACACTACTAAAAGGTCATTATTTTCCTTTTCAATAGCTATTTTCATCGAGATTTTAATTAAATCTATTGGCGAAAGAAAAATTATACTCCTCATATGAAAATTTTCAACTATTTTAGAGAGATTTTATTTTTCATAAATAGAAAAATCACATTTCATAACATAAATTTATCTTTGATCACGCTAAAAATAATTTTTATTTCTAATAATGAAAATAAACTTGAAAGTGATATATAGTTAACTTTATAAATTTCTTCTCCCAGCTCCAAAAATAAAAAAGGAATAAATAAACAATAATAACAATAATGTTATTATGTAGCAATTTATTTCTCCCTCCGTAAGACGTTTACAAAATATAATCATTATATGTATTTCTCTACTAATTGAAACAGTACAAAAAAATTTAGAGGACAAAAATATAACACTAATAAATACTATCTTTTAATTTTTAAAACGTTACATAGTCTACATTATTTACCTGTACTTTAATAAATATTTTCTTGGAGAAATTTTTTTATTAACTTATTTATGAGGAAAAAAAAAGTCACATCATTTTCTAAAAGAGACCAATTTCAGAAATACCTTTTTGTGAGGATTTTAGCATTGAATAAAGTCCGTTAACCGTACTAGAAATGATCTTCACTCCAATTTATATTTGACATGATATATTTAAATTAAATATAATGATAAATTTTACTATTTCTGTGGATTATTGTAACTTATTTAAATACTGAAAAATTGCTACTTTTCACTTTTTACTATAAAATAATTATTTAGTAACTATTGTATTATAAGTTAGTTTAAATATAATATTTATTTTTACTATTATTAAAATTTATTGTATTGCATCGTACTGTTAGATATTACGTACCAACAAAAACTCTCATTTTATGTAATGATCAATTTGGTGTGATTGCATTGCTAACATAACTTTTTCTTCTTATTTTATCTTTACTTATTATTTAATAATTATATCTTACCCTTTATCACCTTTTATTTTTTTGAGTTTCTCATCCGGCGTTCGAAGTCTACATTAAAATCCCGACTAAATCCGTTATTGTATAATAATCATATCTTACCCTTTACCACCCTTTTTTTTTCCATCCGGTATTAGGAGCCCACATTGGAGCCTCAACTAAATCTAGATGGCGCGTTGCAAAGCCTACTCGAGGGTGGCGCTTCCAATAGAATTTTCTCCATACACCAGGCTTGAACCCGAGACCTCTGATTAAGGGTGAAACACTTCCACTGGTGTATCACATTGTTTTCATAACAACTCTACTTCATTTTCTACGTTAGTTTTTGTATAGGTTTATCCTTCAAAGTGTTTGATTTGTGACATTACTTGATGACAAAGAGTGATAAAATCTCTAAATACTGAATCCATTAAAATAATATAGTATGATATCATACGAGATATTATGAAATAATACATAATAACTAGGCATAATACATAAATGTGTCATTTAACTTAATTTCATTGTACATTTATGTCCTTCAACATTGGGTATGAACAAGTCGACACTGAAACTTGTATAACCTTGAACAGATAGACACATGAGTCCTACGTGACATAATACACGTAGGACGAAAAATATCATATACAACATGTGCGTTTATTCCTTCAATCGTATATAAAATTAAGTGTCTACTTGTACACACCAAAATTGAAGATCATAAATGTAATCTGAAGACAAGTTAAAGGACATATTTATATATTATGGCTAATAACTAGCCAAACAGTATCATGAATTGCTCTAAATGATGAATTTCAAAAATATGTCAATCAAACAATGTCATATAAATTGAGACAAATATAATAATGTACAAATTTGTTCTTTTAAAACTCTATATATATCAATGAAATAAGGGGGGAAAAATACTATATAGTAAAAGTGTCCATCCCAAAAGGAACCAACCCATAATCTTCCAATTCCAATTCCATTATATATATATACACACACACCAAAATAAACCAACGGTTCACAAATTAGAATTTCTTCTTTATTCTCTCTTTCATAATTTTCTCACAAAAAAATAAATTAATTTAAATTTTTTTTTGAGTTTCTTTCAATTCTCTCTGATTACAAGTCATACCATTTTCTCCGTGAAATGTCAACCGGTGGCACCACCGTCGCCGCCAACTCCGATAGTGTTATCCCCATACCCACCACCACGACCCACCACCGGCGCCGTGTCGCTGACTCCGCCACCATGACAACGACGGACTCTGAGAAATTATCAAACTCCGATTACAATTTCTCCTCCGACGAGGATAATAGCAATAACCCAGAAATTAGCAATTGCGATCTTCATCATTATCACCATCATCATCATCCGTTAATTAAATACTTATTGGTACGGAAAAGGGTACCGGAAAGTATTGTTTTTAGAGTAGAAGAATGGGTTTTAAACGTTTCAACAATTATTCACTATTTGAGATTAAAGAAGAATATGGGTCGTACAGTTTTTGGGTTTCTGATGATTTTATTGATGCTTTCTGTCTTCCTCAAGTTTTCTTTCATGATGATAAATACAAATGTTGAAGATTTAAATGCCAATTTTTTGAGAAGGGAAAATGGTATTTTTGTTCTTCCTACTTTCAGAAATGGTTTGGGTAATCCCCAAAGGATCATTTCTGAAACAGAGTCTTCGTCTTCGGGTTCGGTTTCGGCTTCTGGAGATTTTATCAGAAAACGTCAGATGAAGGAGATACCGGTAAGTGTGGATTTCCATTTTTTTACCTTTTTTTTTTTCAAAACTAATTTTAGAATTGTTGTGACTTGATATTGGAAAAAAAAGTTTAAAAGATTGAATTTTTAATTACCAAAAATTTAGTTTGCTGTTTATAGGTTGAAGAATGAAAAGATGGAAACTTTGTTAATGGAATTTTATGAAAAGATAGAATTTTGATAACTTTGGGAATTTACTTTTTACGTCTCTGTTTACTTTTACTTGTTACGTTTTCGTTAAGAAAACTTTGTAGGTAAATATGAGAGGATGGTGGAATCTCTATTCATTGTTTGACTTGGTAAAAACCAAAGTAGTGGAAGGCAACAGAAAACAGTGTTGAATATTGTGAACCATTTGCCAGTTGGCTATTGGCAAATATTGACTATGATGGTGGCTTTCCATTTATTAGTTTTTTTTTCATTCGGTGTCTAGTAGCCGCATAGAAGTCCGATTATATTTAGATTCACGTCGAAAAGTTTTAAACTTGGGGTAAAATGCCGTCTAATAAAGGAGATTCCGTGCATAGGGACTTGAATCGAGATCTCTCTAGTTAAGCCTTTCCAATTATTAGTTGTGACTATTATGGAGCCTTCTATGTTCTTTTTTCCTTTTTTTTCAAGAAAAAAATTACGGTGGTGTTCGAGTTAACTTATTTGATTTTTTTTACACATGTTTGTCACTTAATCTTAACTTTTAAGTTTCTGTTAAGTTAAATTGTTCGATTCGACGTATAGTTCTGGTCATAGTTTATTGTGCTCCATATGTTGTTCCCTAAATTTACCTGAATGCAGACTTATTGTTGTGTTTTTGTTGACTATGATTAGGCAAATGAACAAAATGAAATGAAAATAGAAGTATCTAACTTGTATATTTGAATTGCTTTGACAGGTACCAGAAATATGGATGAAACCAAATAGTGATAATCATTATCAATGCATTTCTCGGCCTAGGAATCGTATAAGTATGTCGAGATTTTATATTTCTGATTTTATATGGTTTTTATTCGGAAGGTCATTTGTAACGTGTTCTGATATCTGGAGTTCCTTTTCTCCAGGAACTGGTTCATCGACGAATGGCTATATCTTAGTTCATGCGAATGGAGGATTAAACCAAATGAGAACAGGGGTGAGCAAAACTCGTTTATGCCACACTCGTTAAGTTTATTGTATGGATGTGTTTTATTGAATGGCGAAGATGTTATGTTGTTGGTAATTATTTTTAGTGGATTATTTCAGATATGTGATATGGTTGCTATTGCTAAAATAATGAATGCCACTCTGGTGCTTCCTTCTCTTGACCATGAATCGTTTTGGACCGATACTAGGTACTGTGCTTTAGTTCTTGTGATCACTCGACAATGACCCCCATCTTAGCTCCTCTTCATTTCCGTTCTAATAATTTGTCTCTTCTTGCAGTGATTTTAAAGATCTTTTCGAGTGGAGACACTTCATTGAAGTTCTCAAGGATGATATTGAGATTGTTGAGTCGTTGCCACCGGAATATGCAGCTGTGAAACCCCTTCAAAAGGCACCCGTGTCATGGTCAAAGGTTTGTAAACAGAACTACTATGTGCTATAGCTCTAGTTTTTAGTTCTCGTGGCGGAAACTAAAAGTATGATGCTTAATTTGCAGGCTAGTTACTATAGAGGAGAGATACTTACTTTACTAAAGAAGCACAAGGTGATACAATTCACCCACACGGATTCAAGGCTTGCTAACAATGGCTTAGCATCGTCCATTCAAAAGCTTCGCTGTAGAGCTAATTATCAGGCTCTGCGTTATACGAATGAGATAGAGGAGTTTGGAAAGAAGTTGGTTGATAGACTTAGAGATATTGGTGAACCATTTATCGCTCTCCATTTAAGGTAATCTATCTAAACACTTTTGTGTTTCTTCTTCTATTCTTTAACCAATTGATCTATGAGTAACTTGGTATATTGCTCAATTGTACAGATACGAGAAAGACATGCTAGCGTTTACTGGCTGCAGCAACAATTTGACTATTGAAGAGGCTGAAGAACTTCGTACGATGAGGTATGAAGTGAAACATTGGAAGGAGAAAGAGATAGACAGCAAGGAAAAGCGACTCCAGGGAGGCTGCCCCATGTCCCCTAGGGAGGCTGCTTTATTTCTCAAAGCGATGGGATATCTGTCCACGACCAGAATATACATTGTTGCAGGGGAAATTTATGGCAACAACAGCATGGATGAATTCCGTTCTCATTACCCGAATGTGTACTCTCACTCAACCCTTGCAACAAATGAAGAACTTGAGGCTTTCAAGAATTATCAAAACCGTCTTGCTGCAGTAGACTACATGGTAGCCCTTGAAAGCGATGTTTTTGCTTACACTTACGATGGCAATATGGCGAAGGCCGTGCAAGGTCATAGACGATTTGAAGGATTTCGGAAGACCATTAACCCGGACAGGTATGTTTTTATCATCGTCAATGCTTTACATCTTCCCTTTTCATCACTTGAATCAAAACCAACAATAATACTGATACATTTTCTTCATTTTTTCAGGTTCAACTTTGTAAGATTGATCGACTCGTTAGATAAAGGTGAAATCTCTTGGGAAGAGTTTGCTTCAAAAGTTAAGGCCTTACAATCCAACAGATTAGGAGCACCTTACCTAAGACAAGCCGGTGAATCACCACGATTAGAGGAGAACTTTTACGCAAATCCTTTACCAGGTTGCTTGTGTAATCGATCACACGAAGAAGCCAGTAAACAACTCAACAAGAGACCAAGACTGAGGGTTGCTTCACAAAGATAGGTACTTTCAATGATCATAATGTGGTAGATTAGTTCAATATCAATATACATGTTCTACAAATGGCCTATAAGGGGTTGCCAGAAGTCGGGTTTTTCATCGCCCTTCACACTGCGCAGCGAGCAGAAAGAAAGAGAGATTGTTGTAAGAAGCAAAGCAGTACTTGGAAGCAGAGATATGATGGTTTATAAGATGGACAAAAGAAAGCATATACACAAACCAGAGAGATGTACTCAAAAATCATTCTTTAGGGTGGAATATAAAAATTCATTTATTTTTTTTATTTTTTTTTTCTGAGTTAGTTTTATGATTTAGGTTCAACAAGGATTGATCATATATGTATTACCAATTCATGAAAAAGATATACAGATCTTTACACAGATGCAGAATTACTCTTATTTGTCATCTTTTATTAGACAAAGGTTCGTGTTTGCCTTTCATTTTTAGCTTTAAAAACTATCGTAACGTGTGAATTAGACGCATGTCAAGTGTTCAAATCCTAGTATTTGAAGTAGAGAATGGTAACAAGACGAGTCTAGTATTCATCGAGTTTTTACGTGTGTAACTGATTCAATAGATTTCTCGATTATTAAAAAAAAGGTACTTTATAGCACTTTGTCATTCAGTTTGAATTGCTTTGTAATATACTAGGAAAAATGACCTGATATACTCTTTATATTTCTTGTTACAATAAAAATGATTCACATATACCTTTTTTGATTAACTAATTTGTAAATATTTATTTTTAATTATTTTAAAAACATGTCATATAGGAATATAATTTATGCTTCTTTAAAAAAAAAAGGTCTTGCAATACCTTAGTAACTGCTCCACTAGACCACTACCATTTTTTTTTATTTTTTTTCTAGACCACTACCATTAGCATTCAAAGAGAGGTGATAACTTGTATGTAAAAACTCTTTAATTAATGGGTGGTTATTATTATTTTTTTTATTGCACTCATTTTTTTTTAAGAAAAATATATTATATGTGTATATTCTTCATGTCAAAGCTCTAGCTAAGAATCATGAATTGTGGTCCTACCTGTTTTTGCATAGTATAAGCTAAGCACCTTGACAATAAAGTTGTTACTACTTTATTCAATTCCAAGCTATCTAGGGCAAACTATTTAATAGGATTCACTAGGGGTGTTCGTGATTTAATTTAAATCGGTTATTAGTTAAAAGTAAAATCAAATCAATCTAATTAATTTTTAAAATTTTTAAAATCAAATCAAATCGAATAAAAGAAAAATAATTGTTGCTTTAGTTATTGTCGATTTGGTTCGATTTTGTTCAGTTTTTCTAATTTTTTCGATTTGAAAGTAATAAGTTTTTTTTGAGGACGTATGTATGTCCATAGACACAATTACCTAGTACATGAACAATGCACAGAAAAGTTACTGTAGGTCCAATTAAGCAATACTAAAGTTATCATTATATGAACGTGGCTCAATTAAGAGAATGTGATTATCTTATGTGACATAGGGTAGGTAAAGACTAAATCAGTGGATTTTGATGAACTTGGACTTAGAATTGTAAAATTGTAATAGTTTGACTAAAGTTAAGTATTGACTTGAGAAAATGGTAAAATTAAAGACTTAAGTTAATTAAAATTTAACAAAATATTTATGTTTTATTTATGAATAATATGTAAATAATCATAAAAATTATATATCTAATTTATTAATTCGGGTTGGTTGTTTTTGCAATTTTTTTTTTTGTACAATCAAAATGAAATCAAATAGTATCAATTTTCAAAATTTAAAACCAAACTTAATCAAATCAAATCAAATATCAATTTTTTAATTGATTTGATTTGAATTATGGTTAGATATGATTTTTAAACCATGACCATTAAAGACCCTTGGATTCACATTGGAGATGCAAAATTAGGAGGGGTCATACTTTCTTGGCCATTTATAACATAAATAGAGGAAAATAAAATTTTCACATCTTTTACACGTAGAAATGAATTTCTTTATAAACAAAACGTGAAATTAAAAGAAAGTGTAATTGATACAAAATTAATTCTCCATTAATCTATAGTGTATCGGCTTGATATAAAGATTCGATACGGATAAGTTTTTCCTATTATGAACTAAGTTGAGGAATTCAGATAATGTTTCTACTATGTAGAAACTAGTAACAAAGGATATTAATGATACGATTGTGTCGATTATTTATATCATTTTAATTTTTTAGTTATTTATTTTGTACGATTAAAATAAAAAAAAATCAAGTCACTCCATTATCTTAGTTTCTCTTCTATATTGGTGTGATTTAGTTAATTTGTGATATTATTTGGCAATGTCATGTCGAATTATGTTATACTTTGACAAAAACTCTCAAGATGTTTTTATGATTTAAATGAATTAGAGAACATTAATAGAAATTCGATTCATTCCCTAGTCCCTACTGTAAAAATTAAGCAAAAAAACAAATTTAAATCAATGAAATAAATTAATCAAGATGAAATTTAAGAATTAAGTCAACTAAGATTAAGTATTCAATAATTGAAATTTAAATTATATGAGAAGAAAGATATTTAATACCTTGTAGCTTGCTATTAAAGATAATTGAAATACTAAGCTTACCATTCAAGATACCATAAATAATTTAATTTCAATAGGAGCAGCATAATAGGTACAATTTGATTTATTTTTTTTTTATGAAATTCAATACCTATCTAATAATTCAGTATAATTATAAGTTCATATAAAAACTACCGGTTTTATTTTAGAAAACCTAATTATTGATTTGGTTCGATACAAATTGATTATTTAAATTGATCATTAACACCCTTAACTGGCATATCGCCCTACTTAGTTGAAGAGGCCTAACCTGTAACTATAAGTGATAATTTGAGACGGATTTAAAATTTTAAGTCGATCAATTATATTATCAAAAGTAGTATTGTCTCCATAATTTCCATGTGACAAATCATTGACAACTGAATTAGCGAACAATCTTTAATACGTACTAAATAAGAAGAGCAATAAATTGAAATGTCAAATGAAAATTGCTTCTAAAAATTGTATCTTCGTAAAAAAACTACTTTTTATAGAATAAATTTAGTTTGATCATTGATGGAAAATGTACCAGAAAAGCATGAACATAAATAGGAAGGCTAGATCTCGAGTTCGAGTTTAGGGTATTGAGAAAATCATATTAGAACCGTTAAAGAGATTGTGCGAAATTCAAATTTTGTCTGGCTTTAATGTAAGTTTCAAACACTCGTGACGGAGATGTGAAACTAAATAAAGGGTTTAAAATCTGAAAAAGTAAATAAACAAACTAATTAAATATATATATATAAAAATAATAATTTTAATTATATATAAATAGTAATAGGATTCGTTTTAGCAAGGCCAAGGATTAAGAAAGTTTACCTGAGAACATGTGAAACTATAAATATGGGCCATGTGAGATAATTTAATGCTGAGAGAAATATCACGCCACAATGAAATGTAATTAGGCAAAGATTTGTCCATATACCATCATATTTCCACTTTTGTGCTATAATCATCCATTACGGATTCAGAATTTTCATTAAAAGGGTTCGAAAAATAAAAATATAGTTCACGAGATTTGAAATATCAAGATGAATTTCGTATACCCTTAAATCACTGAATCAACAGGTGAGACTTAAAAGGGCAAAATGTACGCAGAGCTTACCTCTATCTCTTAGAAAGATAGAGATGTTGTTCCTGATGAATCTTTAGCTTAAAAAAACAGCGCATTGTACACAACATGCAAAAGAAAGAACAACAACTATGAAATAATGCAATAACCGAAAGCACAAAAAATTGCAGGTGATAACCAAAATAGAAGAACAAGAAAAACTACCAGCTGATTCAACAATCATTTGACATTTTTTGACAGCAAAAAATGATAATATGAGCTGAGGAGCCACAAAATGATATAATAGTGAAAAGTGAAAACTGCCTACTCATTACAACAGTGAAGAATCTATATAACATCCTTTAACCATGAGATGCACAATCAAATTAACTGATTTTGAGTTACAAATGGGACTGGTTTACAAAGATCATGCACTTACAAAAACACTATGGATCTTTCCTCAAGAACCTATAATTTGTCGGATTAATTACAACGAAATCTACGTTTAAGTAGTAACTTCTGCAGAAAACAAGGTCCTGAGAATTGGCATTATGGCACTACTACCACATCGATGGTACATAAACCTGCTCTTTGAGATTCTGTGTGGCGCTTTCAGTAGGAAAACCTCTAACAGCACCTATTGTCCACTGGGATATTATGCCTGCTGCAATAGCAAAGCGAAGCTGTCTCTCTAGAACATCTTGATCGTGGTACATCTCTGGTTGTGTTGTCAACTTTCTCATTATTCCAGCGACAACAGCATCACCAGAACCAGTTCTATCACAAGTAAACGGTGTTATGAGCACATCTTCTGTACCAACAACCACCCCATCAAAAGAAGGGGAATAGTAATGAATCCTAAGTGTCCCATCTGTAACAAACAGAAGTTTCAGTCCGTCGTGCCACAAGGGAGCAATTTCCTCAGGAGTATAGTGATAATAATTTCTTCTTTGTTTGGTTTGTTCGTAATTCTCCGCAAAGTATTGAGGTCTATAATTCCTTTTCCTCTCGTAATGCTCTTCGTCAAGAAGAAATTCAAGCTCTTGCCTCGAAACCTCAATGATGTTAGCTTGCTGCCAGGCTTCCTTGATCAAATCCCTTGTTTCGTCACGTGATCTCCACAGAGGCAATGGCAGATTTAAGTCAAAAAATACAAGACCACCAAACTTCTTTGACAATGTAATTGCTTTAAAAAGAGTTGAACGCATAGATGAAGATGTCAAGACTTCAGAATTAAAGTGGAACATCCTAGCCTGCAAAACAGAAAGCAAAAGCATCCACGAAATTTGTTAATAATAGTTTCCCATCATCACCCTGACACAATTATTGAAGCAAGTAAATTCCGGAAAGGATAAAACTGATAGAAGATATATTCTTCTCCATAGTGGAGGTTCAAGCACTGTATGAAAAATATCCATCATGAATTTAACATCTTACTTCTGGTTCATACCAATCGAAAAAAACAATTTCCCTACCAAACAAGAGAATGAGAACTGATGATATATTGAATCATTTTTCAGCTTTCACGGTTTAAGGATCAACCAGTCTCAAGCTAAAAGACCGACAGTTTCAGGAAGATGAGTAACTAGTCAAGCATGAAACGACAAAGCAATTTGCTGCTCCAAATGATAACTAGTTGTCAGGACACTAGATTTTTTTAATGATAGGTAACTACACTTCCACTACCTCGCAACTAAAAGGAGTATATACGATTAGCACAAGTCAAACTCAAATAAATAAATTGACGAGAACTATGCATCTTTCGTCAATTGGTT